TTCCGTCTATGTGGATTGTGAGGATGTTGCCTTGTCTTGTGTATTATAAACCTTTCTGGTATATAGTAGATTCTTAGTTTATAATAGGTTGATGCATAAGCTGAGCATCATTGGGATCTTGTTGGAACGACTATGCAAATATGGTTTACTAGTAGTATGAGTTCAAATCTGCCTATAAAGAGGACTATATGTATTAAAATGTAATAAATTAAATAATTTACTGACCAGGAAACAGTATTTCTATAATAAGAAATGTTCTACAATACTGATTCTGGTTGATTATAGATTTTTTTGACTTACTAGTGTTTCATTTAAAGACACAATGATAAAAACGTATGTGATTAACCCCAAGTATCCAACAGGATAAGCCATGAGATGCCTGTGATTTCCATCTCATACTCATTTGACAGAAGGCATGTAGGAAGTGTCGTGGACCCACGCGCAGTATGATTTTAACTGAACTATTGATTGTAGTTAAGGGGGTACTTGTGTGCTAAGGGTATACAACTAATTCAAAAACAAACAAACAAACAAACAAAAAACAGCTCAATGGGAACACTTCTATCAAGTTGAAGTATTTTAAAAAGTTTGTGTTTAGCAGGTTTCTCATCATGCCCTGTCTATGGCAGGCAGCTGCTGGACCCTGTCTCTGTGAATGGCACCATGGGAAAGCAGGAGCAGTAGTGTTTGACACCATTGCATTAGACAGTGAACAACTTGTTGTGAAAAACGTATCTGGCATCGGGACAGTAGAACTGGAACACAGAGTGCTCTGAGCCCCTCAGGTTTCCTGCTGGGTTGGCGTAATGATATCTTAAACTAAGTGCAAGTAAATAGGAGCAGATGTATGTGTTGTGAATTATGATCACTGCAAGAAGTACAGAGAGCATTCTGTCTGCACTGTGTACTAGGACACACAGAGGTGTCCATGGCCTGCGGCCTTGTATGTTTGGGAAGAAATGGAACAGCCAGTTTTCACAACTGAGCTCAGCTGATAGAGAACAGCCCTGAGGAAACACGGCTTCATCTAATGAGTGCTTTCTTATCCTGTGATTTCAAGATCTTTGAGTAAAACTGAGAACTCCATGAACCTCAGAATGAGGATCTAATGTCCATGCACACAAAACTCTTTTCAGCCATCAAAATGAGCCATGCAGAAGGCCACTAGGCCTGAATCCAACCTTTGGGAAACCCATTTGTGTAGCTCCCTTGGCTCTGTTATTGTTGTTTAAATCAGAAGAGCCATGTGCAGTGCTAACTATACGGGGAACAGAGAAATGGTGTTAGTTGCTGATAGCAAGGAGGAAAGAACACAAGGCACACAGATGGGCTCGGAAAATACCTTTTAAAAGACTGGATAAAACCACATCAAAGATGACAATATTTTTGTTATTGCATTTAATTTTTGGTTGAAAAATAATTAATGTGTATATAATGGTGTAACTGAGTTAGTGGTAAAAAGATACTGGATAAACTGTTTTGTCCAGGTTTACAGAGGAAGATTACAGAAAAATTTGAGTTAGAAAGATTTCTTTGAAAACACTTTAATCATAATTATTTTAAGTAAAACTGAAGACATTTCTTCGCTCAGCGTTTTGCGGCTAAGATTGGTTCTGTCACGCAGGGTAGTGTTAACCACGTGATCCTCCTGCCTCTGCTTCCTGTGACTCTATACCCAGAAAAATAAGTGCTATGATGCCTAAGGAGAGCTCAAGAGTCATGTGACTATTGCACACCACACAATAGGTACAGACAGGATCTTCAGAGTGTGTAGCAATAAGTTTGATTTGGTCTGTTGGTATGTAAAATGAGCTTCACGTATTTATTCAAAACAAAAAAAAATGTGGGTTGAGTTAGTTAAATGAGACAAAAAGTAAATACATAAAGTTGACTATTTCATAGTCTAGATTTATCATGTAGCTTATATACAGATATCTCAGCGCAGGACAGAAGTTGTCAGTAGTACTTGCTCTCTTTGTACCCTGCTTTCTCTTGGCGCCTGACTTCTCATTCAGGTAGATTCAGATTGGGAATCTCAGACTTTAGTCTCAGAATGTAAATTTAGTTTATGCTTCCTAATCAGCAGTGTGTATGTTTCCTAGTTTTACTAGATCATCACTGTGTTTTCTTTATTTGTCTGTGTGTGTGTGTTTCTTCCTTTCTTGGGCTCCTGACTGCAGGTAAATAAACAAACTATTAGGTTACCTTGATGACTTTGCTAACTGAAGTTTTTGGTGTAGTAGTGGCAATCAATGAAGTTTACTAATTTACTAATATCTATAAAGACCATTAAGACCTAAGCTCTGTCAGCCTATGAAGATTGGCACTTTCTCTTTAAGAAGTCACCTCATCTAATCACAATTTCCCACCTCCGTGTGCTGATGGTAGATATGCAGAATCATTAGTTAAATTAATTGTTTCAAGTGCTCGGTATTTAGAATGTTGTAAAGTGTAATGGAATTACTGAGTTGAGAGCAATTAATTGGATGTACTTCAAACATATTCCTACCAAATGTTATACCTGGCATTCTTTTTGGACACTTAAGGACTACCAAAAACTACTTTGATGAATTTTAACACCATCAAAACAATCTGTCTAGAACAGATTAAAATGCTTTGATATGTTGCATTGAAGCACCCCACAATCTAAAACGATGTTTGAAGACACTGCCTTCTATGTACTTTGGCTGGGCTTCATATTTTTAAAGGGAGGAGAATGAGAATTGAAAATACTTTCCAAAAGTTTTGATTGACAGGGAAGGATGGCATGATGTCCTCATTCCTCCTGTCTAGGAACCCTGCACTACGTAGAGACTGGATATTTGTATCCTCCTTCCAGGCCACAGCTGTGAAAATTGAGGTGGTGTATGTAGGGAACCTCAGGTCCCAGTGAGGGGTGAGGAATGCGCAGAACTTGAAAGCAAATTGCAGTAGTCATATTCCACTCCCTTCTCAAGCCCTTCTTTTATTGTACATAGGAATATGGCTCCAGTCAAGTCAGGTACTGTGATATCCAAACTAATTTTAATGCGTGAAATTTTACAAGAAACAATCACATAGTTAAATATTCATAACAATCTTCAAGTTTAATGGCTTAAACAAAACACATTTGTGGATTTCCAAAGAGCCAAATCTGTGTTAGATGCTATACCCCCCCTCCCCGTATGTATTATGCTATCAAATAAGAAGGATGTTTAAATAGTGTCTTTTGTCAATGCTTATGGTCAAAAGAAATGTTTCTCTTTTGTAAAGAAATTATGCCATCCCATTAATAGACAGACAGGTTCCTCTTGAGTTGCAACCATACATTCATTCACTGGGATGGATATAAGAAGATGTGTTTTCTTCTGGTTACAACCAAGTTAGTTGTAACTTACTGATAATTAAATATTAAGAAAAGGTCTAAGTTGTATTTAAGGAGTTATGCTATTGACACTAGGATAGTTTTCATGTTCTTCCCCATTACCATGTTTACTGTGTTATAACCCCAAGTGTGTGTGTGTGTGTGTGTGTGTGTTTGTGTGTGGTGTATTGGGAGGCTTAATGTAAAAGAGACTACTTAGATATGTTACTTTTCTAGATTCTTGCTTTCAAATTCAAATATTATGTTTGACTAAGTTGAAGTTAAAACTTTTGTGTGGGTAGAGGATGGGAAGGGACAAGGACACAGATGCTGTGAAAAAACTCATAATTCCCTGAGGAGAAGAAGAGAAAATCAGAGAATTACAAGTGCGTCATTTAGCTCCTTCAGTGCAGTGTCTGCTTGGCATATAAAGGAAAGAGTGTGGAGTACCCATCATGCTCTACTTCTGTAATGTTTGCTCTGGGACCCAGAGAACCAGAAAGTCACCTTTTGGTATTCAGGTTATCCCAAGTTAAAAAAAAAAAAAAAAAGACAATGTATTTCTCCAAAGCTAATTTTTACATAGTTTTGAGATCTATAAATCATTTAAAGATTAAAACAAAATCAAAATCAAGTCTATCACAAAATAGAGCATGTTGCCCTCCCTCCCCATAATTTACAGAATGAATGAATTACAGAACCACCATGGCTTCGTGGTTAGCCACCCATTAAATGCCTAGCTTAGTGGAACAGTCTCCCCTCATTCTGGAACTCATCATGTTTATTTCCACAGATTGCTCTTTCTATCCAGTTTAGCTCTGCATTTAATTTAAATGAAAAAGCAGCTCGGGGCTAATTCATTATTTAAATTGCTGTCCCCACACTCCCTTTGGGTACTGAGGCATCTATATTCCTAGATATGTGACATATATGCACGTAAGGCTGCAGTTAGGAGGCAAAACGATGAATGAGTTAAATGTTAAATTTGGGGCTGGTGAATGAATTATACATCGAGCACCGCCCTTGCATGTGTCCTCCACACGTGGTCTACTGTGACTGAAATGTTAACTTTATACTTGGCTCACAGTTTTACTCTCATGTTCTAGAAAAAAACTAACAGAGATGAAATACTTGAAGATGAATGTTATAGATTAAAAATATAGACCAAGTGTTAAAAGAAATTAAACATAACCTAGGCAGCTTCTTATACAATTGATTGTTCTCTTGGTACGCAATAGTCGACTTTTAAAAACTTAGCCGAGTTCATGTTATTTGGCGTATTCTATCATCTAGCCATGGGGATTGAGAACATGCTCAAAATGTTCTCAAAAGAAGAACATTCTCATCAATTCAAGTGAATTATAGCTTATTTTCCATATATACACACTTAATATGTATTTATGTATTTACGCGCACATACACCTTTAAAAATTCTTGGGAGGCTGGCGTCTAACTCAAAAGTCATAGAATGTGCAACAGACCAAGCTGATTCACCTGCAAAAACAGAGCTGTGTTTCGCCTGTTGAGTGCATTACAGGATAAGTGTCCTCTGTGTAAGTCAGTACGTTGTCAGAGTCTTACCCAGGAAGGACATGAAGCCTGAATGCAAGCTTTGCAAGCCCCGCCCCCCGCCTCCTGCCCTCCCCACACACTGTACCTTCCGCAGGGGCTTGAGCTTGGTCTCCATTATGAAGTCGTACTTGCAGAGCTCACAGCATCGTGTGTCTGAGCTCTTGATCCACTGGTGGAGACAGGACTGGTGAACAAAGCGCAAGGTCCCCGTGCAGCGGCAGGGAGTGATGAGTGGGCTCTCTTCATCGCCTTCGCAGTGACAGATCCTGGGGAAGGACGCGGCATAAAGCATGAGTTCTCCCAGAGGACGCTGCTCTCCAGCGGAGCCTGTGCTGGTATCGGGCTGCGTTAGACACAATAATCTACAAGCTAGAACTTGTGGTCGTTTCTCTCCAACTTTGAAAGTAAAACCAAACTTCTGATCAATATCCACTTATGTTCACACGATAGTTATTTTTGGACTCAAGTTCTATGAAAAGGCATTAGATATATGCACACCAGAAGCACATTTATTTCATTCTGACAGTGAAGCCATTTTAAAGAGCAAATCTATTCAGCTGGTTTGTTTAAAGTTTACTGTCTATGGTGTTTCATATAGAAGGGTCACGACGTAAAAGCAACCCAAAGAAGCCGGGTGTGGTGGTGCAGAGTTTAATCCTAGCACTCGGGGGGCAGAGAGAGGGAACACTTTAAGTTTGAGACCATCCTCGTCTGTAAAGCATGTTCATGACAGCCAGGCACACATAAGACACTGTCACTGAATGAATGAATGAATGAATGAATGAATGAATGAATGAACAAATAAATAAATAAATAAATGAATAAACCTGAAGAAGATATACTCTAAAGAATTTTATAGTTTGAGAACTTCACTGTGTTGTTTTGATGCCAGAATTACCGGGTCACATTATATACTTTGCAAGTATGAGATATTACTACTATCGAAGAATTTTTAAAAGTTTTAAAGTGAAATAAAATTATAAAGTTAATATTGAACATCTAGCCTGAATGTATCACAAAGAATTTCTTAGGAAAAAGCACATCGATTAGGTCACAATGAACTGTCAATTGCTGTCATCGTATAAAACTCACAAATATTCCTCATCCCCTACAATTCTAGCTTAGTAAATCCTATTGTTTGAAAATGCTAACATTTCTGTCTACAAATTCAGACTTCTATTAGTTCTGGATTTAAAGTAATTTCTAGTGACATACAGTCTCTGAATTCTTCACTACTCTCATTTTCATGTTCTAGAAAGTTTTCTCCTTGAATGAGACAAACCATAATTCTAAGAAGTGAATTAAAAGCTTAGCTCTTGGCTGGAGAAGGCCCTTGCCCTGCTAGCGTTGGGACCAGAGTCAGAATTGCCAGGACCCTTGTAGGGCTGAGTGTGGTTGTGAGTCTGTAACCTCAGTGACCTAGGGCATAACGCTGGAAAGCTTGAGGACAGCGGTGGCTAACAGCTGAGGCACGTCTTGCCGAACATAAGGAAGGTGAGCTGACACCTGCGGTCCGCTCACCTTTACTGCACATATGTGCCGGGACTCAAGCACGCGAACATGTATGCATACGCATGTAACTGCATCATATACACACAGGGAAGAGAAACAAGTTTTTAGTCCTTCAGTAATTAAAAACTTTAACCAGCCATTGACAGTGGTTTAATAAACTTCCTTAGAAATACTGCTTTGGGATGGGCGTGGTGGCACACTCCTTTAATCCCAGCACTCTGGAGGCAGAGGCAGATGGACCTCTGTGAGTTCAAGGCCAGCCTGGTCTACACAGTGAGTACAGGACAGTCAGGTATACACAGAGAAACCCTGTCTCGAAAAATCAAAAGGAACCCTCCTGATTCCACCAAAAGAAACATTGCTTTATACCTATTTAAAATACAAGTACCAAATATAATATATAAACTTCTAAATCCACATAATTACCGAATGAATGACAGGTTGGAAGAACACATATGTGGGTTTCTGTGACTTTACAGACTGGACTAAGAATCTGCTCTGAAACATGATGTCTCCGTAGAGGACTAGAGGAAGTGAGGCAGTTGCTCACATAGCGAGTGCAAGAAGTTAGAGGAACTGAAACCCAGCACCCTCCCAGCTTTAAAAAGGAAAAAGTGTGTGACGGAGTATACCATGTCAACAGAGTACCACAGCACAGTGCTGTTCACAGTGGTTGAATAGTTAATTATACCCCCCTGTAAAAATGGCAGGGGTCACTTGTATGTGCGTTTTCAGGGCTAACCATTTGATGCTGGACAACCAGCTGCTGTGCTTTTCCCCAGGAAGGACCACCCCTCCTGCTTCCAGCTGTCCTCAGCTGTCTATAGTTCTTTGTGTATGGTTGAGGCCTCATGGCTTCTCTCCATCCAGTCTGCCATGGTTATGGCTATCTTCCTTGAAGGTTATATTTAGGAATACACACACACACATACACACACCCAATAACAGGTGAGGAAGCTTTGGAGTGAGGAAAGGGAAAGGGAGATTTGTAATTAAATCACGTCAAAATAATCAAACCAAAAGACAACAAACAAATGCATCTAGTGAAAGAAAACAAAGTTTCCTTTGCACATAATTTGATTATAATTTTGTATTTGTAGCCACTGAAATTACAGGGAATAACAGGTGATACTCTCTCACCTGCCAAATTAGTTGTTAAAATTAAGCATACAAAGTAAGGGGATTCATTACGGTGTTTTTATAACTCACTTTTTTTGTTGATCCTCCCACTGGTGTTGATTATCTCTCCCTACCTCTGTCTCTCTCCTTCCCACCTGTCCCTTTTTCCCTACAATGGCCACTTTGTGCTATCATGTCACACATGTTCTATACCCTTTCCTTTTCCTTTCCAAAGATCTTTTCCTACTCTCATTTCCTCTTTCTAGTTTCATGACATATACTCTCTTTCACATTTACAACACTCACACCTTTTTGATAAATATTAAGATCCTTGTTCTTTGATCACCTCCCCTGAGGGGGGAGCAGCCTTACCAGGCCACAGAGGAAGACAATGCAGCCACTCCTGATGAGACATGATAGACTAGGATCAGAAGGAAGGGGAGGAGAACCTCCCCCATTAGTGAACTTGGGGAGAGACATGGGTGGAGAAGGTGAAGGGAGGCTGGAATTGGGAGGGGAGGAGGGAGGGAGCTACAGGGGGATACAAAGTAAATAAACTGTAATTAATAAAAATAAAAAAATCCAGGTTCTGTGTATCAGAGAAAGCATGTGACGTTTGCCTTTCTGCTGCTTAGCATTTTGCTCAACAATAAATATAAGTCCATTCATTTACCTTGCAAATGCCATGATTTAATGTTACGTGTGGATGAAAAACATTACATTGTGCCTATGTACCATATTTTCTTTATCTCTTCGTCTACTGATGAGAATTTGGACTGCTCCCATTCTTATCTATTATTAATAGAGTAGTAATAAATACACATGTCTGTAGTATGATGTGCATGCAGTCTTTTGTAATACACTCAGGAATGGTATTTGGGCCATGTGGTAGTCCTAATTCGCTGAGGACTCTTCATAGTGATGTCCACAGTGAAGAAACCAGCTTAACTTCTGCCAGCAGTGAATAGTTTCTCTCCCCTCCCCAACCACATCCCTACTGGTATTGCTTGTGCCCTTGATGTTAGTTATTCTATCAAGATAAGAATCCATCTGTGTTGAGCCCAGAAACCAGCTGTTCTGTAAGAGCAACAAGTACTCTTACAGCTGAGCCATCTCCTCAGCCCCCTAGAATGTTTCAATGAACGTTTTTTTTTTTTTTTTGAGAAAAAGTTTAGAGTTGCCCACCTTAAAGTTTTGTGGTTTTCTTTTGGTGTTAAGAGCAGTGAACGTGGTGTACATCAACAGTGACAAATCCTGTTCTGCACAGAAGCCACCTAATCCCTTCCTTCAGGTTACCAAGGAATTTAAGAAAAGATTGAGCACAGAAAGAAAAAAGAAAGCCACAGTGCACGTGAAATCACCTCTTGGTCTGGCATTGTACCTCATTGCCTCTGTGGGCAAGGGTTCTTACTTGAAAAAGAACGCTTAGGAGTTAATGCCATGTGGTAATTCCTCGCTGAAAAGGAAGATTGTGTCAAATGCACTACAGCTGCCAACAGACTCTCAGGCTCTGACTCTGCCTGACATGAAAAAAGAAATTTATTCATAAGTAGCTTTAAACAAAAACCTAGCTGATTACTGAGCTCAACCTGACCTTGCCAGCTTACTGATTATGGTCCAACTTCCTGTCTTAAAATGCCCCTCTTTTTAGAAAAATCTGTTAAAACCTTCCCCTGAAGCAAACAAGTAATAGCCTTTTCTCATGAAATTAAAGTTATTTCCTACAGGGAAAAATCAAATGCATGATTAATTTTTCTTTCCATTTTACACAATGTACATTTGCATGTTTTTAGTGTTTTCAACTTTTTTTTTTCTAAATTATCCCATTCAAGCTGTACCCCAAGAGTCTTCTTAAGGCACGGTTAGATTGTTCTCAATAAATTTAAGAGCAAAATATCAATTTAAAGGCTCTAATAAATATAAAAAATAATGTGATAGTGCCATTAAAGAAATAATTAAACAGGTTTAAAATTGATGTATTTCACACAAATCATCATTCCTGCATTATGGATGAAAATATAGCAAAAAAAAAAAAACAAAAAACAAAAAACAAAACACAAACAGGTTTTCCCCTACAAAATGGTTGTGCAAAGAAAATGATTTCAATACTGTAATAAAATAGTATATAAAAATAGTATATAAAAAGTATCTGTCTACAATCCAGTCAGTGCATGTTGAGAATTTTTTAAAAAATTCTTTATTAATTACACTTTATTCACTTTGTATCCCCCCTGTGGTTCCCTCCTTCCTCCCATCCCAGTCCCTCCCTTCATCCCCCTTCTTCACGCATGCCCCTCCCCAAGTCCACTGATAGGGGAGGTCTTCTTTTCCTTCCTTCTGACCCTAGTCAATTAGGTCTCATCAGGACTGGCTGCATTGTTTTCCTCTGTGGCCTGGTAGTGCTGCTTCTCCCTCAGGGGGTGGTAATTAAAGAGCAGGCCAATCAGTTCATGTCAGAGACAGTCCCTGTTCCTATTACAATGGAACCCACTTGGATATTGAACTGCCATGGGCTACATCTGTGCAGGGGTCTTAGGTTATCTCCATGTATAGTCCTTGGTTGGAGTATCAGTCTCAGGAAAGACCTTTGTGCTCAGATTTTTTTTTGTTTCTGTTGCTCTCCTTGTGGTGTTCC